CACACCCACGCACCCCCACACCCCCCCCAAGCCCTTTCCCACCTCCATGGTTGCTCCCACTCCAGCCCCACTGACCTCAGACCCCCCCCTCGAGCAGGCAGGACCCCTATGCCCCCCTCTAGCAGCTGAGCTGGGGTATCCCATGTCCCCAGGGATGTGGCCGCAGGGTGCCCCCCAGGCAGGGGCAGCACTGTGGGGTTGTTACTGTGGAGTGTCCCCCCTGGGGTGGTGGTCCCAGGGGTGCCCCCACAGAGCTCTGGGAGCATGGGGGTCCCAGGGATGGGCAGGGAGCAGGGAGAGGGGTAGTGGGGTGAAGTAGGTGGGCAGTGGGGACCCCTGTGTGGGCAGCAGGGTGCAGGGAGGGAGTTGGGTGCAGGGTGCAGGCAGGGGCAGCGGGGGGATGCGGGGGGTGGGCAGCCCTTACCCTGCCGGATGGAGACGTATCTGCCATTGGCCGCCGTGAACACCACCTGGGGGTGACTCTCCTCCAGGTCAAAGAGTTCATCCTTGCCCGGCTTGGAGCTGCGGCCGGATTTGAGGGTGCCGGTGGGTCCGGTGGGCGCCAGGTACTTCCCGTCGCAGTCCTTGAACGCCAACTTGCCGGCCTTGAACTCGAGGGTGTAGCCGGTGCCGGCGCCGGGCTCGGGCACCAGGGTGCCATCGCAGCGCAGGTACCGCTCGTCGGCCGTGCGCAGGCTGTACTTCTTGTCCTGGAAGCAGAGGGTGATGAGCGCGTCCACCCCCCAGGGCAGGTTGCTGTCGGTGGCGATCTCGTCCTCGTGGGCGCTCAGGTGGGCATAGCGGCGGCGGCTCACGCTCAGCAGGTTGGCCTGGGGGTGCATGGCCAGGTGCACGGTCCACAGCTCGCCCTCCGTCACGCTGGGGGCGAAGCAGGACAGCCGGTCCTCGCGCCCCCCGAAGAAGCGCCGGTGCGGGGCCGACTGCAGCGCCCAGCGCCCGTCCGACTGCGTGATGATGCTGAAGCCTTCGTCCCGGCCCGGCTGCTCCGCCTCGCAGCGCACCTTCCCGTCCTTGTCGGCGCCCAGGTACCGGCCCAGGTGGCTCTTGAGGAAGACGATGGAGCTGTCGGCTTCATCCTGCTCCAGCGTCCAGATCTGCTTGCGCTTGAGGCTGAGCGCCGAGGCGTTCACCTTGTAGCCGAAGCTCTCTGCCGTCAGGTACCGGCTCTCGCAGTTGATCAGCCCGAACTGGATCTTCAGCACCTGGTGGATCCCATTCGTTGGCATCTTCCGCCGAGGCGGGGCGGCCCCCGGGGGGCCGGCGGGGGCTCCCCGGCACTGCCGAGCCCGGGCGTCGCGGCGGGGCCGGACCGAGCGCCCGCGGCGGGGGCGGCTGCGCTGCCCCGGACCCACGGAGCGGGACGGGGCCTGGGGGGCTGCGACCCGCCTGGGTACCCTCAGGTGGGGTTAGAGACCGACCGGGTCACGGTGGGCACCGGGGACGCCCAGGCGAGGGGGCACCGCGGCAGCCCCCGGCCACGCCACCGTCCCTCGCCGCAGCCCCGTCCGGCTGTGGTGGAGCCGCGGGTGGAAAACTTGGGTGGGAACCCGATCCGGGCCGGCGTATCCGTTCCGATGCCGGCGGGTTAAGGTTACCGGTCCCTCTGATTCAGCAGCGGGTCACCTCCAGCCGCGCCGCCTCCCGGCCAGCCCCTAAGCGCCTTTTCCAATTAGCCAGGCATTTTGATTAGTGTAAACCTTTTATCCTGCTTTGGGGCCCTTGGCCTCCATCTGTCCTGTGGCCCCAAATCCCTTCTGCAGCTGTGGATCGGGGTCACGGACACCCCCAGCCCCCCCCTGGAGCCATCCCGGGGCGTGGAGTCCTTCGGGGCTGAGACCGCCTGGAACTCATGACAATGATGAGGGTCCAGCCCCATGATGGGGGCAGGAGGTGCAGGGACTGGGGGGGACAGAGGTGCAGGGGACAGGTCCCACTCTCACCCTGCAGGCACTGAACCCCAGCCCAACTGGGACCCCCCAAACGGGGCAGGTGCAGCCACAAAGACCTCCAGCCTCGGCCACGCTCCACCTGGGCCTGTCAGGGACGGGCTGTGCCACCGCCTGGGCCCCCCAAAGTGCTCGGACCCCCCGTGCTGGGCTCTGGCCACGTCCTGGTGATGCCGCCCTGGTTCCTGCCACCATCTCCCCGGCCCAGCAGCTCCGGTGTCAGCCCCGTGCCCGGTTATTGTTCCCACAAACAACCCCAGCTTTGGTTGCTCATGACTTTTTCATGCCGGGCTGGCTCTGCCCGAGCCGGGGGGTGCCGTGGCCCCCCGAGCTGTGACACCCGAGCCGCTGTAACTGACCCCCGAAACGGAGCCGGCTCAGCTTTCAGGCCCTGGCGGTGGGGGATAAGTGGGTCAGGGTCCCGGGGGGCTCTGGGGGGGCCGTGGGCAGCTGGGGGTGGTAACACGGCTCTCAGTGGGTGCCCGCTGGCACCTGCCTGGCCGAGCAGCCGGGAGCAGCATTTATACACCGCGGCCCCCCCTGGCCCCCCGGCAGAGTCAGGTTCCCTTCGGGGGGGCCCCCTGGGCGCTGCCCCACAGCCACAGCGTGTCCCTGCGTCCCCTCGGCCTGGGGACAGCCGGACCCCTCCCCACTGGGGGCTGCTGAGACCCAACACACTCGTGACAGGCCAGGGCATTGCAAGGAGCTGGGGTGGGTGACCCCTCCCCGGGTGGGTGACGCCCCTGGTTCCCATCTAACACTCTTACCAGGAGGGATATGGGGGTGCTGGGCGGCCCGGGGGGTCCCCAGCCCCCAGCCTTGATGGGGGGCTGGCAGAGGGGAGGTGGAGGGGGCTCAGCTGTGCCCCACGTGCCCAGGGGGATCAGGGCAGGGCTTTGGGGTGGGGGTCGCAGTGGGGGTCAGGAGGGGTATTGGAGTACTGGTGGTGGGACCCCTTCCTGGTTTCCATCCAACAGCCTTCCCGTGAGGGATTTGGGGGTGCTGACCTGCCCCCCTGGTGGGGGGCTGGCAGAGGGATGGAGGGGGCTCAGCCGTGCCCCACCAGCCCGGGGGTGTCAGGGCAGGGGTTCGGGGGTTCTGGAGTGGTATTGGAGTGCTGGGTGGTGGGACCCCACCCATCATCACTCCTCACGTGCACACTGGCAGCGCGGAAGGACGGACGGACGGATGGACGGACAGCGGGGCGGGGCGGGGGTAGTGCCTTCCTCCTCCTCCTCCTCCTCCTCCTCCTCCTCCTCCTC